TTTTTTTTACTTTTACGACTTCCATCGGTGAAGCTGCGACCGATTAAAAACCAAAGTCGCTGGGTTGCTGGAAAGTTCCAGGCAAGGTCATAAAACATCAGGCAGCTTTTCGTGAGTATGGAAGGATGGGTTCAGAGGGTTGCCCCTGGCGTTGAAGTCATTTACTCGAACTTACCAATGCAGGACCCTCGCGACAAAGAGACTCAGTAGTGGCTTCCCCGGTAAAAGTGAAATAAAAATGTGCATTACTGCTATAATCATCGTCGTTAATTTTAAAACAGGAAGTGGTTGGATATCACGACGCCCGGCGCTCGCTAATAAACGAGCCTTTCAATGACACTCATAATATGCTACTTCGAGCCCCGTATTTTTTCACAGCCTGCCTCCCAAAGAAGACATTTTAGTTATAAATGAAGATTTCCACTCATCCATCCACGTACGTGAGGACAAAGCACACGTATATATTATTATTAGTAGTATTATTTTAGCAGGTAAAGGCTCACTGAGGTACGTAGCTCATTTCAGAAGCGGTTGGGTTCATAGCACAGCGCGTTAACCACGACACGACCGCTCCTCACCGACACACGCACACACCGACACACACACCGAGACACACACACACACCGAGACACACACACACACCGACGCACACACACACACCGACACACACACACCGACACACACACACACCGACACACACACACACCGACACCCACACACAGACACACACACAGACACACACACACCGACAGAGAGAGACACATGGCAGAGAGAGACACATGATAGAGAGACACGGTAGAGAGACACATGATAGAGAGAGACACATCCTCACCACACAGCTGAAGGATAACGCACGACCACAACTGTAACCAAAAGATAAAGATTCCCCGTATAGCCTGTAACAAACTGTGTGGAGTGGTAGTGTAGCGGGTAGTCTAGCGGCTAGCGCGTTGTGCTACGAACCTGGCGACCCCGGTTCGATTCCCGCTCACGCCCAACACCAGTGACTGAACCGGTCTTGGGCCTCCCCTAGGTCGACTCAGCCTCAAAAGGGTACCTGGTGCGTTGTGTAAACATCACCACGAGGGAGACAAAGGCGGCTGGGCGTGCTGTTGATCACCCACCCCCTCGTGTGCCGTGCCGGCCTTCATAGGTGCTCGCTAACAGCACTCGCCCCAACAGTCTGTCACTGCGACTACTACCACCACCATCACGATCATCATCATCATCACAATCAATATCAATCATCTTCATTACATCATCACCCCCTGATTGGGGAGAGGGTAAACATGAGCTTCACCCGTTATATCTTGTAGAACTAATGCGATTATGATTATGTAAACGTGTGGAGGTGGGGAGGGGTGGATTGGAACAAGTTATTGAGATGCCCATTGCGCCGAGACGCAAACTAAATAAAACAAATTCGCGCCGTTTCAGACGGCTCCGATCAGGCCTCCCCCCCACTGCTGCTTAAATAAAGCGTGAGCGTAAATAACAGTCATACATGAATAAATAATGTTGCCATAAATAAATCGCAGCAGCAGCAACAGCAACAGGCGACGGTCAGCATCGGCCGCTGCTGAGACACAAACTAGTTTTTGTTGTTTTTCAAGACGGTCACCACCGAACTGCACCCCCAATCGGGGATCAGAAGCCAGAAGTAGCAACCTCGATACTTCAATAGCCGCAGCGCACTGCGGGTGAGTACGAGTCGGTGGTCACTTTGTAAGTAACGCCAGGAAGCGGCCCTTTAAAGAGCCGCGGGTTGCCCCCCCTCCCCTCCCCTTGAGTTGACTCAACCTCGATTTGGTTGTACCGAGTAATTGAGCCCGCGAGCCCGCGAGCCATCCAGGTGCGAGGTGATGATGCTCCCTCGTGCGTGGTGGGATTGTCCTCCGGCCACTGCAGTTTTACCCCTCCCCACGTGAAGACAAAAAACGGCCATCGGCATCGGTCGAAAAATCGAATGCACGCGATGCCCCCTCCTCCTCCTTCTCATCCTCCTGCACGAAGAAGCCCTTGAGACTCGGGGGAGGCTTTTGCTGGGCGTATAAAAGTGACATCGCATCCCACGTTCGGTCCTCGGTGCCGAAGACCCCCCCCCCCCACGCGAACTTTCCCGCGGGGAAGTAAAGGCATGCACGGGTTAACGTGGGCGACACGGGGTCAGATTGGGTGAAAAAGCCATCCGTCGCGCTATTATTAAGGTCGCGACAATGTTTAATATGTTCATAAGAACATAAATAACGGGGGTCCTCTGCTCAAAAACCATTGCGGCTCAACTCACTGCCGCAAAAATAGCGGAGGCGACGCGAACAGGAGCGAGTGCCAAGCACATCGCGGAGGGAGAGTGTATGTGTCTGTGTGTGTGTGTCTGTGTGTGTGTCAGTGTGTGTCAGTGTGTGTGTCAGTGTGTGTGTCAGTGTGGAGTAAGTGGGTCTGCGTGTGTGTAAGTAGGTCTGTGTGTGGACCTCCGCATGTGTGGGTATGTGTGTCATTGAGTCCATGTGTGTGTTTAAGTGGATCTGCGTGTCTATAAGTGGGTCTGTGTGGATTTATGTTCTCGTGTTTGTGTACGTGCATCTGTGTGTGTGTGTCATCGTGGGGAGCGGTAGTGTGGCGGTTAGCGCTATGAACCCGGCGGCCCGAGTTAGATTCCCGCTCACGACCAACACCAGTGGAGATTTTCTGAACCGGTCCTGGGCCTCCCCTAGGTCGACTCGGACTAAAATCAGCCACCTACCCATCCGTGTGCCGCTAACAACACCGGTGTAAAGAGGCCCAGACTGAGTCTGTATATGTGCGAGTCTCTGTGTATGCACGTAAATAAAGTGTGTGTGTGTGTGAGATTGTGTGTGTGAGTACAAGTCCGTGTGTGTGTGTGGCTGGTTGATTTCTGTGTTAGGTTTGTTGTCCTTCCCCCACACCTCTCAGTAGCACGGTTGGCTACGTACGATACACTGTGCGTGTGTTCATCTGTGTGCTCATCTGTGTGTGTGTGTGTTCATCGGTGTGTCTGGGAGAGTGAGAGGGAGAGTGCGTTTGGCCTTGGATGAGAGCAAGTGACGTTGGGAGGGGGTGCAGGCGCCAATGAGAGGGGGAGGAGGAGACGCGAGTGGAGCAGTGAGGATTTGTTAATTCAGTCAAGGTCGAGAAGTCGACCCACAACTGAAGGCGCCGATGTTACCACCTCCATCGCTTCCTTCCTTCTGCTAAACATGACAGCCGCTGCGCGATCGACAACCCAACCTCAGGCACACGCGCATCACCACCCTGCCTCCAGATCGTCCCCTTGCTATCAAAGTAAACAGGGCTTTCAAGGATCGCTCTTAGTCTCATCACCACCACCATCTGGTTGTGTGTGTTACCCCCCTCTGTCCGTGGACTGCTCTCCTTCTACCCTGCACACGTGTACAACCCATCTTCACAACCTACCCCCCGCTGCTAGGTTACACCTACATCGGTTTCTCCGTAAACGTTCTATTCTTGACCTCCACGCACGCTCGGCACAGAGACAATTGAACAGAGCGGCAGTTGAAAGATGCTGCGGCGGCCCGGCAAATCCATAAAGATCGGACGGGCAAGTGCTGCTAGCGAGCAGGCCGCAACGAGTGGGTGGTGTGACCAGCACCGTCACAATGGACGCCATTCAAAGCTACGTTGCGATGACGTTCTGCACAGCTCTTGTGCCAGGCAAGGTGCACTTTGAGACCACGTGAAGTGTCTAATGCTCCCTGACAGGAGGTCACGGGACAGACCCGGTTGCGATGGGATGACTGTGATGACTGGCAGATGCACCGCACACGCACACACACGTGCAGATGCACCACACACACACACACGCACGCACACGCACGCACACACACACGCGCAGATGCACCGCACACGCATACACACGTGCAGATGCACCACACACACGTGCAGATGCACCACACACACACGCACGTGCAGATGCACCACACACACACGCACACAGATGAAGCGCCTTTCAAAGCGCTCTTCACCAGCGACGTCACCGCTACATTCGTACACGAGGTGCGAGGTGCATTTGGCAGCCAAGAGTAAATTTGTTTAAACGAATGAATCACCAGCAACCCCTCTCGTTTATTTACAACGTCTGGATGACCCGAAGCCAAACATTCGAATAACCATCACCGTCGTGGTTGTCATCGTTACCACCACTACCACCACCATCATTATCGCGAGTCTCGGCCTCTGCTGCTGTGTAGAGGTCAAGAGGTGACTGTGTGAATGTGAGCGTGTGGGTGGGTGAGTCACGTCCAGGTGGAACGGGTGAGTTTAAACTGTCGGGGTTGATTTGAGTAAATGCGTACGCTTGTATTTATGGTGAGTGTATTGGTGTAATGATTAACTCAGCCTCAAATGAGTACCTTGTGCGGAGTGTAAACAAAGGCGGCCGGGCGTTGTGCTGGCCACCCACCCCCTCGTGTGCCGTGGCGGCCTTCATAGGTATTACTCGCTAACATCACTCACCACCCTTTTTTAAAGGTCGCCGCGCGTCTGCAACAACCGCGTCTGCACTTGCGGCAAAACAAAACATGCCCCGAGTCGAGTTTGCAAGGGGTGGCTTCGTGCGGCCAGTGCAAGGGTGGAATGGGTGCACGGCAAGCGCGCGTATGAGCAGGGTGGTGGTGGTGAGCGAGTGAGGAGCGAGTGAGGAGTGAGCGAGTGAGCGAGCGAGTGAGGAGCGAGCGAGGGAGTGGGGAGTGAGCGAGCGAGGGAGCGAGGGAGTGAGCGAGTGAGCGAGTGAGCGAGCGAGTGAGGAATGAGCGAGTGAGCGAGTGAGGAATGAGCGAGTGAGCGAGTGAGGAATGAGCGAGTGAGGGAGCGAGGAGTGAGGGAGTGAGCGAGCGAGCGAGGAATGAGCGAGGAATGAGCGAGTGAGCGAGAGAGTGGGGAGTGAGCGAGGGAGTGAGGAGTGAGCGAGCGAGTGAGTGTACTTGGGTGAGCGCGCACGCACGGGGCTCCCGGGGCCTCACCGAGTTCGTGTGCCAGGGTGAAGGCCGTCTGCACGCCGTCGTCCTCGATGACCGCGCAGCTCCTGGCCGGGTCGCACACGGTGCCGACGTCGGCCACCCCCAGCGTGCTGCAGTCAGACGCGCCACAGATGTTCTGCGTGTGGCAAGCGAGCGGCAGCGTAGGAAGGGAGCGGTAGGGAGGGGGGGGTCACACCGGTACCAGTCAGGGTGGCACATGCTACCAGTGATTTACCCGAAGTATTCAGTGTCTAGATTATAATCGAGAACGACAGCAAGGGACGCGTAGTAGCTTGTAGGAAGTGTGTCGCGCGCAATCTCGACTTAGACGCCTGTGTGCGGCTGGGTAAGGCGTTTGTCTGTGGCTTGGGGGAGCGATAGTGTAGTGGTTAGCGCACCGCGCTACGAACCCGGAGACCAGAGTTCGACTCAAACAACGGTAGACTCGTCATGAAATGAGTACTTGGTGCAGTGCGTAAACTCGAGCATTGGGGAGATACAGGCTTCTGTGCGTGTTGGCCACCCACCCCCTGGTGCACCAAACCGAACCGGCCTTCATTAGGCGCTCGCTAGCAACACTTACTTCAAGGCGATACGGGGAGGGGGGGAGGAATCTCCGTCTTTGTTGTGCTAATGGAACTACCATTGTAGAGTCGGGGGGGGGGGGAATCTTTTCTGGAAGTAATTTAATCTATTTGTGTGGTCGGGGCGCGCAGAAGTCATCGTGAACAATGGAACCTCTTCGATTTTATTCGGGGACCAAGTGAAGGAGGAGGTGCACACGTCGTTAAAGAGCGGGGACCAAGTGAAGGAGGAGGTGCACACTTCGTTAAAGAGCGGGGACCAAGTGAAGGAGGAGGTGCACACATCGTTAAAGAGCGGGGACCAAGTGAAGGAGGAGGTGCACACGTCGTTAAAGAGCGGGGACCAAGTGAAGGAGGAGGTGCACACTTCGTTAAAGAGCGGGGACCAAGTGAAGGAGGAGGTGCACACTTCGTTAAAGAGCGGGGACCAAGTGAAGGAGGAGGTGCACACGTCGTTAAAGAGCGGGGACCAAGTGAAGGAGGAGGTGCACACGTCGCTAAAGAGCGGGGACCAAGTGAAGGGCGAGGTGCACACTTCGTTAAAGAGCGGAGGAAGCATTTGTCGGGATAGGAAAAAAACACTTTTATGGACCCTGAAAAAAAAGATTCGGATACCGCGCGCGGTTTTTTTTTTTGCGGGGTTTGAGGTTAGAGTTTGGGGTCAGGGGTTAATCCCCCCGTGGTCCAAACGCCGCCGCTGCCTCTGCCCGCGCATACCGGAGCATAAACACAAAGGGGAAAAAAACCAAACTCGCTAAGCCCGGCACTTTTATGGAGCCTACAATTTAGTCGGTGGATCGGATGGGACTGGACTGTGTGGAGAAATCTAGCGAGCACGGACAATCAACGCTCGTGTGAATACGCGCGCTCATCACGCGGCACAATGTGTTTGGTTAAATGCACACCGCAGGGATTATGTAACGCATTCCAACATTATACAAAACACTGTCACTGTTTTTTCTCTCTCTCTGGTTGTCGTCTCAGACTTTTGGGTAACCCCTCCGATCAATGTGGCCGCTTTTCACAAAGGACGATTACCCGAATAGCAACACACTACACTCAAGTTTTGTTCGTGTTGGATTATAATCGTTAAGAGCTATGTAGCATGCCCCCGCGTTACGGACGGAGCTAATGCTCCCACGTGTTCAACCTCAGTTTGGAAATTGTAAACAAAACTCACAACCAAACCCTAAGCATGGGCTTGAGATTAGCCGTGATATGAGCCCGGCACTCACTACCCCTTCGAGACTCCCACACAGAGCGCGTGCTCTAAGCCACTTACGTGCACACGAGAACATAGACAACCTCCGGTATTAATTCACTGCTCAATTCACACTGTCTGCCTTAATGGAGCCGCTTCACATTAAGACTGCTATCTCGGTGTGGCGCGTGTACACTCGTTCCGCGTGACGCAGACGGCGTTCATTGCTTGGCGCGGCACGTGGGACGTGTTTAACAATCATCGGGCGCGTGCAGCGTGGAACGAGTGAATTCGTATTTGAATGGTGGTTGGATGGGGTGGGGAGGGGGAGTAAATTGGTAAACGCGGAAAGACGGAGCGTGGTGGGCGATAGAGAGGACTGGAGTTTGGAAAATCATGAATCCTCGACCATTTGCAACAAACAAAAAAAGGATGCGTGTACTAGACGCGTAGGTGGGTGTGGTGGGTGGGAGAGGATGGGGTGGGATGAGGAAAGCCCCGGGCAGATTAGAGATGAGAGGCAGCAGCAGCAGCCTTGTGCTAAAGGTCACAGCGGCTCCAGTTCGGGTAGGGTAGCTTTGAGTGCCCCTCTCTGTACAGCGACACGCGCGGAGCGATTGTCAACAGCGGGTTCCCGGGGCCACCCAGATCCAAGAGGCGTTTTAAATTAAACATAACTACAATTATAATGACACACACGTCCTTAACCGTTTTATACATTTTACAATTGTGGGTGCCTGCAAGTCTACGATGGGTCTCTGTTCAACTCTTTGAGCTTACATGGGAGTGTTTGGGTATATTTGTGTGTCAATGGGTCTACACGTCCATGGGTTTCTGTGTAAGCTGTGATTCCCTGTGCTGGTTTTACGGGTTTCTACTTAAATCGTTGAACCTCTATATCAGTTTTTGGGTCTCTCCGTAGGTCTACCTGTCTCTACGTAATTCTATGAGTCTCTACGTGCGTCTACGGGTCTCTGCGTAAGCCCACACGTCTCGAAGTCTATGAGTCTCTATGTAAGTCTATGGGTCTTCTCGCTCTGCACTGCCACACGTGCCCACGATTGACCTCAATCTCCCTCCCCCATCTGACAGGCAACGTCCCACGTGCCTACGAAGACCCCGCCTCGCCGATCAGCTGTGCGCTTGAGGATTCACAGCGAGTCACGAAGTATGGACCGGCTGTGAATCCAGAAGGCGCACGCCTATAGGCTATGAAGTATGCATGTACAGGCTATAGAGCATGCATGTACATGATAGGCCATATAGCATGCATGTGTAAACTCAACAGCATGCATGTACAGGCTATAGAGCATGCATGTACATGATAGGCCATATAGCATGCATGTGTAAACTGAACAGTATGCATGTATAGGCTATAGAGCATATACAGGTTATCGAGCATGCGTGTACAGGCTATAGAGCATGCATGTACATGCCACATGGGGGGGGGGGGGGATGGATTGGAAGAGATTGGAGACCAACATTAGAAAGCAGAGGGGATGAAGAGCAGGTTAAATTGCTCTTACTTAGCAGGATAAATGTTATGGGAAAAATTATAAGAATAGGTGTTACCCTTTCTGGCAATAAAACGGGAGGTTTAAAGATGTTCAAACTCCAAATAAAAACATTTTGCAAGGAATCAAGTACTGCATTCACCACACACAGTACTTGTGGTGAACATGCAAACAAACACGTGGCTATGATAATAGATGATGCATTGTCCTTGAAATTTTTTTTCAATACTTTGATACTGGTAACAAACGTCCCAGGATAAATTGTGTTGTAGAAAAACCGAAAAGTAAACGATGTGCGTGGAGAGGAAACTGTGCAATAATTGCGCATCGCCCACTGCGAAGATACTCATCAGATACAATCCGTGAAGAGAGAGAGAGAGATGCGGGGCTTGAAAATGACACTGAGATTACTCGGAGAGACAACGGTGGAGACAAAGATGGATACAAAGATTCCCCCGTCGAGCCTGTAAGATACTTTGGGGACAAGTGCTGTTTGAGAGCAGCACCTATGAAGGCCGGAACGGTACAGGAGGGCGCGGGTGGCCAAGTTTGGCTACGTACGGTGCGAAGGAAGTTCAACATACGAGGCGCTCCCTAACGGCACTGTTAAAGGCTATACGGGCCATCTGTGTCTTGTATATGCCAGTGCGCGTGTGCGTGCAAGGTGCTCCTCGCTAACAGCACTTGCCCCCAACATCCCATCGTAGTCTATACGCGTGATCATTATCTTTGCGAGTTCGCAAGTGCGTGCGGCTGGCATTGAGGACAGTTCCTCCCCCACGAGGACGTGAGCTCTTGAACGTCTCCCTTTGTAAACGAGTGCGTGTGAGTGTCTGTCTGTCTGTGTCTGTGCGTATGTTTGTGTGTGTTACTGTGGGGAGCGGTAAGTGCAGCGGTTAGCGCGCTGCGTAACTGAAACCTGCGAACCGAATTCGATTCCCGCACACGGCCAGCACCGGTGACGATTATCTGAACCGGTGCTGGGCATCCCCTAGTTCGCCTCAGCCTCAAATGAGTACCTGGTTTGATGTGCAAACATCGCCACTGGGGATGCAAATGCGGCCGTGCGTGGTGCTGGCCACCCCGTGCCCTCGTGCGTAATAGATACTCGCTTTCAGCACTTGCCCCGTCACTCTGTTTAAGGCTATACCGGGTGGGGGGGGGTTGGGAATCTTTGTCTTTGTATTTTCACGAGTGTGCCCACACTCGTGAATGCACGCACGCGCACGAGTGTGCGAACACAGGGTACGAATGCACACACGCGCGTGTGTGCGCGCGTGTGTGTGCGCTCGCGCTCGCTTTGCAATCTCACACTGCCTTCCTTCCCTCTCTCTCCCTCTCACCCCACATCACACCACCACCAAGCACCACATCACACACAAGCCAACCCCCCGCACCCACCACCACTCACCACTCTGGTGAAGAGTACAGCTGTGTCGAAATGCTCCGCCCCAGCGCCTCCCGCCCTCCGCAGCGATTTCTGCCACTCGCAGAAGTTGCGCAGGGTGAGTCCTCCGCTGCTCGAGGCGACCGGAGGTCCTCCCCTGGAGCCGTGACGGCGCTGCTGCTGCTGCTGCAGCACCACGACACCGGCCACGCTGAGTCGCACGGCGTTGTCGAGGCTGGCGTGCGAGAAGAGGCGCGCGGCGCGGGCCGCCACGTCGAGGAGGTACTGCTCCACGTGGCTGGCGCCGTGAGCCAGCGCCATGCCCTCGTCCGCCACGAGCAGCACCGATAGGTAGCGCAGCGTCGACACGAAGCGACGGGTACGCACCGGAGCCAGCTGCGGAGCAGCGGAGAATGACGAAGGGGAGCGCTCTCCCGCAATGTCACCGTCTTCTGATTCATCGTCGTAGTCGTCGTCATCATTGTCGTCTTCATCAACGTCGTCATGGTTACCCTTACTGAGTTCTCCGGCAATGGTGTTGTCTCCATCGCCGATCAGGTGGTCGTCTTCCTTGGCGGCGACATCATCGTCAGCATTGTTATTATTTTTGTTATCACCATCATCAGCTTCAGCTTCAGATGGGTCGTCAACATCAGCAACGGCTTCAGCAGCAGCATTATCATCATCATCAGCAGCATTATCATCATCATCATCAGCATTATCATCATCATCAGCAGCATTATCATCATCATCATCAGCAGCAGCGTCGTCGTGGTGGCTGTGCTGGCGGTTGTGTTCCTGATCACTACCACCCGCCACCTCGCTGCGCGTGATCAAGTGTGGCCCCAATCCCGTACCCTCATCCTCCTGCCCCTCCTCGTTGTCGCCGTTCCCGCGGCGGTTCCCTGCCAAGGGCCTGATCGAGTACACGCGCCCGCCGTGTTGGAAAGAGCCGCTCAGTCCCCCGCACACGCTGAGAACGGCCTCTCCACTCCCATCTCGATCCAGATCCACACCGAGACCACGACGATCCATCTTCTCCTCCTCCTCCTCCTCGCCGCGGCCGCTTACATCCCGCACGATGCCCGAGTAGAAGCAGCGAGCACCGCCGCCGCGGTGATGGACGCTGAGCGCGGGCCCCAAGAACGAGGCTTCGGGCCGCAGCAGCGAGATTTGGAAGCGGCGGCCGAAGGCAGAGAGCGAGTAGAGGAGCGGAGGGGCGGGCAGGGACGTGGTCGGCATCGAGCCCGTGACCGGCTCGAAGTGGCGCTGTCCGGGACCCAAGTGCTGCCCGTCTGGGCTTGCGCGTCGGGGCAGCGTCACGTCGCTACGAAAGGCAGCAGCGCTCGTGGCAGAGACCAGAAGCAACACGCAGACGCCGGGCGCGAGCATCTTTACGATTCAAAGGCAAACGTTGATGCGTGGATCTTCAGCGTCAGGAACGACGCTTCGTTGTCGCTGCGCGTGTGAAGTTGCAAAAACAAAAACGAGCAAAGGCGCTGAGACTGCTGAAGCACGAATTTGTGCCGTGTCAAAATAAATTAAAGGAATAAGTTAAATATTAAAACAAAATCTCTTGTCTTTGCCTGCCGATTGGCTTTGCTTGATCAATCTATCTTGCCGCGTGTGCTGTCTTCCGTGCTTTAAGGTTACGCGACCCGCTGGTGGAAACAAAAAAAAGTTCTCAAAAGTTAACTCTGAAAGCGGTCACCCCGTGTGTTACTGCAGAGAGCAGGCTAGATACACCCCTTCACTCATAAATACACCTCTTCAAACGCCACATCTGCTCACAGACAATATCACACGCGCACAACTCACAACTGGCGCGGACCAACCTTCGCCAAATCAAAATACGCACAGACTATTCTATCAGCTGGTGTAAGTTACAACTGCGTAAAGTCACGTTGCATTAAAAAGCCATCGAATGGCACGAACGTTGTGTGCAATTATCCCTATCCGCAAGTGCAACTGTTCCCGTTCCTGTCCGTTCTCAATCCTTTACCTCTCTGCACTCTACGAGGGAGTGGAGTTTGAGCGAGTAAGTTAACTCGTCTGCGCCTCTCTCTCTCCCCTCTCTCTCTCTCCACAGCAGCTCGCTCTCCGCTTGCCTGTGCGCCGCGCAGCTCGCCTTATATGAGCCGAGCCTCTTGGCACGACGTGGTGGTGGTGGTAGCAGCGAGGGAGGGAGGAAGGGAGGTAGGAGAGTGGTGGCGGTGGGGGGGGAGTCGGGGTTGGGAGAGCGGGAGGCGGGGGGTGGTGAGTGGAAGGGGACTTTTGGTGAGTGGCAATAGGCCGGGGAGGGGGTGGCTGGGTAGCTGGGTGGGTGAGAGGCTGGAAGCGCACGGGAGGGAGTGGTCACGGTGTTGGAGGAGGGAGGGCGATTGTTGTCACGAAGTTTGGGCGCGTGTGTTCGTGAGCACGCGTGCGTGTGTGCGCGTGTGCCGCCCTAGCTATATACACGTTGGGTGGGTAGGTTATACTTACACTGACTGCACTGCAGCGGCAGAGAGGAGGGGTGGGGGGTAGGGAGAGTTGGGCGCGGGTAGAGACGGGAGGGGGGGGCTACAGCTGGATAGATTACAGAACTCCCGCTCACACAGACGGGCCATGGCTTCGTCCAGAAACTCTGACACCCCCCCCCCCCTTGCTCTCTCTCTCTCTCCACCGGCGCTCACGCACGCACGCACACCTTCCAGCCTTCCAACAACACCCGCCCCGTGATCGCCGGGGCCTAGGGGTTCTGAGTAATTCACTCACTCCACAAGATTGCTCTTCCCCTTTTGCCGCAAGTCGTCGCATAGCGGTTTTCGTAAATGTCACACACACACACGCGCACACAAATAAACACCCGAGCTGGTAGAACGATGAACGAGCCGCATGCAAAGTTGTCCTATGTTGGTGAGCCGTGCGGTGAGTTCCGTTCTGGCGTGGGTCCGCTGCGCGGTGAGTTTGGCACCAGTGTTGGTGAGCCCGTGCGGTGGTGAGTTTAGTCATTGACGTCTCTCGTGTTGGTAGGAGTGCGTGGCCTTGACTATCGTGGAGTTCAGCTGCGCCTCTGAAAAGAGAAACAGTAGCAACAATGGGCCAGAGACCACCCAGTGTGGAGGCGCTTTGACCGGACAGACTCGGCAGCCTCTTGCAATCTCGCCCTTAAAACAACTCAAAACTCAACTTCCACCACCACAACCACCACCATCACCACCACCACCACCACAACCACCACCATCACCACCATCGCCGCCGCAAACATTCACAAGGAAGACACGCTGGGGGGGGGGGGGGGGTTCAGCTGAAGTTGGCGAGACGCACGCGCGCGACACGCGGAGACAGCGTGCTGGGCCCGTCTGGTGAGCGAGTGAGTGGGAGCAGGAGGAGGTGGATGGGTGGGTGGGTGGTGGATGGGTGGGTGGTGGATGGGTGGGTAGTGGATGATTTATTGGAAGAGCGGGGGAGGCGGTGGGGGAGGGATCAGCCAGGAGGGTTCGAGGCTACTCGGGGGGGACTAAACGAGGGAGTTTAGGGTCACGTTTGCGGAGTGCCACGGACATTGCCAATTGCCCGTCACTCGCGGAACGAACGAAAGACGACGCGCGATGTTAACCGACTGACAACCACACATACAGTATAGACAGTCTATATATACTGTAGATGTATCGCTCGCACCGAGAGGAGGCCACGATCTACAACGGTCCGTGATCCCAGCGATCAGATGAAGGCGTTCAGCAATCTCAGGAACGCTTCTCTGCGTGACCCGGGGGTCTCCAGTGACGGCAATGAGAGCGATAAGAGCGAGCCTTTGAATCAACAATGTTCCTTATCCAGAGCCACACAGACGTCAACTCACCCACCCACCCACTCGCACACAAATCCGCCGGAACAAAGCTTGCCTCACTCTCACTCAGGTCAGCCAGTGGACGTCACTGATATCAAACAGATTGACTTCACCTTTACGAGCAGCTGAGCGACTAGAAGTCCCTGAAGATACTTGCATGGTCGGTACAGCTGGATGAAAACCGGAGGAGGCGCTCGGCGTGATGATCGGCACGGCTCGGCTCTGCATCCTGACGCGGCAGTGGAAAAACGCAGCATCGGAGTCGCGCACGTTATTGTGATGCTCTGGACACGTGCGTGGGATGTGGGTGCTTTGCCTCTGCTGAACCTGACGTGTAATTCTCTCCCTGCCACCACCACCACCCCACCACTTATCCGTGCTGCCGACGCCTTGTCCAAGTTCGCACTCTCTGGACCTGGGTCTTCCCCTTTCTCTTCTAGAAAATAAACAAATTCACGTTTCTCTCCTCTACAGTTAAGCCCGTGTCCTACTGATTCCAAGCAACACATTGGAATGCGGTTGCATACAGAGAAGCACTGTATGTTTATGTTGTTTTAAAGATATCGGCCAGGCGATAGACAGGGCAATTGTTTGCGCTACGCTGACTGTCACTTTGCGTAGACGGCTGAACGCAGTGAGTTTCGACATCAACATTTTGAGCGGAACCATAAAACATTCGTCACTAACACTCGCGGTCTTAAATAAAGTTTGGGGGGGGGGGGGGACGAATATGTGTACGTAAAATAGGCGACGTTTCGGGCAATAGCCCTCATTCATAAGCACGTGTTTGACCGCTAGCTTCTCTGTGCGTTGCACTTTTTCGAGACTACGCCACGAGCGCAGTCCACTCCGTGTTCCATCGCCTGTGCATGTCGACACCGGCCAATGATTGATGGTGACGAGAACGCCATAGCTGGTCGAGGAAACTGTAACTTAATCAAATATTTTAAGCACGATTACAACCACCAGCAGCACCATCACCACCACCACTATCATCATCAGCAGAACAGGAAGATAGTGTCAGCTGGAAACATTTGAAAAGAACACACGCAGACGGTGATGATGTTGATGAGGGGGGGGGGGTTGACGAGGTATCGCTCATTATTATGATGATCATGCGAAGCGAACAAAGGAGACAATGGCATTGTTAGGTCCCGCATTCATTGATTGATTGTCATTTTAACGGCCACACGGCACGGCGATGGATACTGAGACATCGCCTTCATGGAGGGACAGCGATGGCGTCGCGGTGTCCAGAAAGGACCCCCGAATGAGTGTCGAGACGCATTTTCAGGACGGCCCTGGGACGTTGGGATCGTTGGCCAATTCCCTTGAAGAACTGAGTTTGTATTGTTTGCGTTGAACGTGTGTAGGCCTTAAATCAGAGAAAACCCATCACTGCCACCAACACCACCACACGAATCAAGGAAACATAACTCAAACAATTCACTTACCCACCCATCGACTTATTGCACTGCCATCTCTCACACCACAAAATTTCGATGGCCATCATTGCGTGGTTCACCAACCCGTGCTTGCTCAACCATCACTGCAGGGTGTGGTGATTCTAAAAGATCGACCTCGCAATGTCACACGCACACACGCACACACAGCGTCCTTTTCTGACGGAGTCTCGCTCCGTGCCACTGCCCGTGAACCGACAATACCTTGCGCGTGCGCCAGGTGGCAATGTTGGTCCACGGATCGTGCGCCACGATCCGCGCGTGTGAACCGTGGAACGGGCGCGGCACCAGGGGGCGCTACGAGTCCACACATCCTGACCACCCATCCCAGAAAAATCACAACCACGAATACAAAGATCCACTCCGCTATAGCCATTATAATCTGTTGGGGCAAGTGCTGTTAGCGAGCACTTGTGAAGACCGGCACGCCACGATGTTAATTGCCTCGCCTGGTATGCAGGAGCGCGTGGATTCGACCCCAACCCTGGCACCTGTGTATTTGGGGGTTGTGTGTCTTTCTCCCCGAGGTCGCGTGGATTTTTTTTTTATCGGGGTCTTCTGATTTTTCTCTCCACGTTTAGAATCAACGTCACGCGTTTAGAGTATTTGGCTGGTATACATTTTCACATGATAAGCCACTTCGTTGAGGTATCATTTGTGGCCACATCGCTTCTAAAAAAGAGCTATATGGCTCAGTGGGCCTAACCTGGTAAAATAAAAAAAAAAAATTGAATTAGTTTGCCTTTGTTTCTTCGGTCAACTTCAAAATATATCTTCGAACGCCGCTATAAATTTGATAAAATCACCACTTCCATCAATATTGATGACCATGTGCCAGCATCATAATCACTCCTTCATCATCGTCATCATCATCATCCTTGCTTAGCCACGCTATCTGCCCCAGCCCCCATACTTTTCCTAACAACCAGTGATGTCCTGCGGACCGTAGAGTAATCCGCTGTGGTCTGCGCTCCTTCAACGCAGGAGGAGGAGGAGGATCAGAAAAACGACACCAACTCTCTCTCGCCTGAAGTCCTCTCGTCGTGGCTGGCAGACCTCGACATTGGCATTTGGCTCTTGAACATGACTAAAACTGCTGCTGCCACACACAAGGATATTATTGACGATTCTTGTGTTGGTGAGGGTGTTTGGATTTACACAGCGCAAGCAAAAATGTATGTATGTTGAACTTCTTTAGCACCGTACCATCGCCCATTCGAGCGTCGTGTCCCGCCCATGCGCGCTTACTTCATGGCCATCGTTACGCCTTTAACCTGCGTACCTTCTCTAGTCCACCTTCTCTAGTCCACCTTCTCTAGTCCACCTTCTCTAGTCCACCTTCTCTAGTCCACCTTCTCTCATCCACCTTCTCTAGTCCACCTTCTCTAGTCCACCTTCTCTAGTCCACCTTCTCTAGTCCACCTTCTCTAGTCCACGCGGTCCTCTCTCTGTCTCTCAGTGCAATTCCAAGCGTGCATCTCTCCGTGCTACTTTGCATCATTTGTTCCATTTCCGTTGTCAATGTTCCTCTTCCTGAAACCTGCGCCTCATCGATCCAGAGATCACACGGTTCGACAAAATCTCAAACTCTGGGTCGGCTGCGATATTCAGTGTGCTCATCGGCAGTCAGCCTCGCTTGAAGCAATGCTGGCGAACTCGCCAGATGTCTGTAGGCAAAGACCCCCGCTCTGTTAGATAAGAGGGTTCTAGTCATAACGCGAACCTGGATAACACACAATACAGACCACTGAACATTCATCGCTGTGGAGAACACAATGATTGAACGACGTTAGTGATTAAGTTGTGTCTTAACGGTGCGCCAGGGAACTCCAGCCAGAACCCCAAGCTGAAAGCTGTGCGCGGGCAAACAAAGTTCACAAATCGCCGGGACTTCCGCTGA